CGCTGCAAACCCTAAACCCTAAACCCTAAACCCTAAACCCTAAACCCTAAACCCTCGTGTGTTTCAGGGGTGGAGGGTTTATGAATATAAAGAGAAAGTACAAAAGAAAAAAACAGAAAAAATAAGGAGAAAGAAATAAAAAATAAAAAAACAAAAACAACAGACATGGGGTGTATAGGCAGCTCTGTGTATATATATATAAAAATATATAAATATATAAACAGCAGCAGAAAAAAAAACAGCTGCTGCTGCTGCAGCAAAAGAAATAATATATATTTTGTTTATATTTGAATAAAACTCTCCAGTTGAATACAATTTTCAGGGTTTAGGGTTTAGGGTTTAGGGTTTAGGGTTTAGGGTTTAGGGTTTAGGGTTTAGGGTTTAGGTTTTTTAGGGTTTAGGGTTTAGGGTTTAGGGTTTAGGGTTTAGGGTTTAGGGTTTAGGGTTTAGGGTTTAGTTTTAGGGTTTAGGGTTTAGGGTTTAGGGTTTAGGGTTTAGGGTTTAGGGTTTAGGGTTTAGGGTTTAGGGAGGGTTTAGGGTTTAGGGTTTAGGGTTTAGGGTTTAGGGTTTAGGGTTTAGGGTTTAGGGTTTAGGGTTGAGCTGGGGTGTACGTGCAGGTGTTCGGGTGTTCTTTCTGTGTGGTTTGTTTGTCTTATATGGATTTGTTTTTATTAATATAAGAGTTGTTTACAAACCCTAAACCCTAAACCCTAAACCCTAAACCCTAAACCCTAAACCCTAAACCCTAATCCCGCATGCACGACGCTCAGCAGCCCAGCACAGCCACCGAGCGGCTGCTGCAGCAGTATCCTCAATTTCTTTGGCGTAAACCCTAATTCCTAAACCCTAAACCCTAAACCCTAAACAAGGGTTTCAAATACCTGCACAGTAAACCCTAAACCCTAAACCCTAGACCCTAGGGGGCGGTCCGCTCCTGCCGCTGCTGTGCTGCTGCTGCTGCTGCTGCTGCTGCTGCTGCTGCAGCTGCTGCAGCAGCAGCAACACCCCTTTCTTCAGCTCATCTCAGGGGGCCCCTCCTCTCCCTAGGGCCCCCCAACAGACAAGAGACAGAAAGGGGGCGGGCCGGCCTCAGCAGCAGCAGCAGCAGCAGCAGCAGCAGCAGCAGCAACAGCAGCAGCAGCAGCAGCAGCAGCAGCAGCAGATTGCTTCCCCTGTCTTAAGTTTGGGCCCAAGGGGGGGCCCTGGGGGCCCCTGCTAAAAGTACTCCTACATGCGCGTCTTTGCTGCTGGCAGCAGCAGCAGCAGCAGCAGCAGCAGCAGCAGCAGCGGCAGCAGCAGCAGCAGCAGCAGCAGCAGGAAAACAAATGGACGCGCGCAGCCTCAAGGGTTTTTCGCTTGACCAGGGGCCCCCAACCCCAGCTGGGGGGCCCCCCGGGGGCCCCCCGGGGGCCCCCAGGGGCCCCCCAGTACCCGATACATTCTCAGCGCAGTGCTATATGCCTATACAGCTGCTGCAGCAGCAGCAGCTGCTGCAGCTGCAGCAGCAACTGCAGCAGCAGCAGCAGCAGCAACAACAGCAGCAGCAGAACCAACAGGACCCCTCCTTAGCTCCTTTGAGGCAGCAGCAATTGCTGCAGCAGCAACTGCTGCAGCAGCAACTGTTGCAGCAGCAGCTGCTGCAGCAGCAGCAGCAGCAACAACAACCCCATACAACCTCACCACCGCATCAGCAGCAAACGAATAACCCACAGCAGCAGCTGCTGCTACAGCTGCAGCAGCTGCAGCAGCAGCAGCAGCAGCAGCTGCAGCAACACCAGCAACAGCAACTGCAGCAGCAACTGCAGCAGCAACAGCAACCAGACCTCCAGCAGCAGCAGCTGCAGCACGAACAGCAAGAGCAGCAGCAGCAGCAACTGGCGATGCATTCTCAGTCCCCAGAGCAGCAGCAGCAGCTGCTGCAGCAACTGCAGCAGCAACAGCAGCAGCAGCAGCAGCAGCAGCAAGACCAGCAGCAGAAGCGCAGCAGCAGGACTCGCAAGCCGCAGCAAAAACGCCAGCAGCAGCAGCAGCAGCAGCAGCAGGAAAGCATATACAAAAAGACATACACAAACAACAACAGGCGCGCAAGGGCCTCGGGAGAAGCAGCAGCAGCAGCAGCAGCAGCTGCTGCTGCTGCTGCTGCAGCAGCTAATGATGCAGCAGCAGCAGCAGCAACAGGAACAGCAGCAACAGCAACAGCAGCAACGCCAGGCGATGCATCTATTGGACAGGCAGCAGCAGCAACAGCAACTGCAGCAGCAGCAGCAGCAGCAGCAGCAGCAGGAGAGCCTGCGATAGGCAGCAGCAGCAATACAACCCCCACAAGCCTTCTTCGTTCTGCTGCTGCTGAGCATGCAGCAGCAGCAGCAGCAGCAGCAGCACCTGCAGCAGCAGCAGCAACAGCAGCAACAACAGCAGGATCAGTGGGATCTTCATCTCCAGAAGCAGCAGCAGCAACAGCAGCAGCATCAGCAGCAGCAGCAGCAGCAGCAGCAGCAGCAGCAGAAGGGAGCGAAGGAGACGGTCCTTCTCTGGGTTTGCTGCAGCAGCTGCCAGTGGGTGACGACTCAGCAGCAGCAGCAGCAGCAGCAGCAGCAGCACAACAGCAGCAGCAATCCCCCTCAACAGCAGCAGCAGCAGCAGCAGCAGCAGCAGCAGCAGCAGCAGCAGCAGCAGCAG